TGTCAGCTAATTACGGACCCAGCATAAACATGAATAGGGCCTAGGTTCTCCTCCTGGCTGATTTCCCTAAGCTCAGCTGCAGTGATGAGCAGAAGTGCCTCATTTCAATGGCCTTAAATAATGCCAGGCTCAGTGCCCCCTTAAAACCTGCTCAGTCGAGAGTACGACTCCCAAGATAAATAGATCAACCCAGGTATTATCCAGTTGGAGAAATTCGGTCAAATGAGTGAGAAGTCAGCTGGGATGAAATGAAAGCATAGGCCTCCATTGGAGAAGGTGACAAAAGGCAAGATGCTTCTAGGGACGGAACTGCTAAAGATGCCTAGGAGGTATTTGTTGGGTGTGAAGGTTTCCTGAATGCTAGCAATAAAGTCGAGGAGACTGGGAGAAAAAATAAATGTAAGATAGTAGAAAAATAAATACACAGTGTTTCGGAGGGATGCATCTACCCTCCTCAGAAGTGGCCTCTGATTTCCAACCCCCAAGCCAAAAGATTTTTCTTGTCCAGAAGTTTCTCATGCCCCCTCCTCCTTACCTGGCTTCCACTAGAACTCCCTGTCACTTGCAATCTGCTGATTAGGGTTAATGTATTGTGTCCTGATATGGCAGATTAAAAATGAAATCAATAAATGCCTAAAACAAATAGGCTTTTGAGCTGTCCCATTCAATCTGCGTCTTTAAGGGTGAGGTGAGAGGAGGGAGAAGGGGCTCGAGAGGGCAGGGGGAGAAGGACCAGTGAGACCATCCATTTCCACCCAAAACTCTGTGTGGAGAGTGTGATTTCAAGGTACCTGTCCTTTCTTTTTACAGGCGTCTGCCTTAAATAACAAGAATAGCCTGAACAGTTCACGCTGCTGTGAACCTTTAGGGGTGGGGGTATGTATGTTTTGTTTGTTTGTTTGTTTTCCATTCATCTGTTAAACATCATACTGTTTGGGTAAGTGAAGGGGTCTCTAGCACGCATATTTAAACCTTCAAGATATGAAGCTGTCTTTCTGAACTATGCTTAAACAAAGTGAGAGTGCCAGGGTTGGGACTCCACCCTGTTTCCAGTTCTCTTGAACCCCATCCCACTTGCCAGTGAACTAAAGGTAAACTTCACGCTGAGCTGCCTGCCTGTTGCTGAGACCTAGCCAGCTAATCTAGTCATTGCCATCATGAGTCTGAAAAAGAGATGGCTCAGGTCATCTCAGCCCTCGTCTGCAGTATTCCGAACTGTCCCTGCTGAATATGCTTCCCATGTAAATAACCTGTGCTATTAAGGTGCAAATTGCAACTTTTAAGTAATGATTGCTAATAGTCTAATGTTTACTGCCACACAAGGACATTCATGAAAACAAAATCTGCATTATTCATCTCCATATTAAATAAACAAAATAAATGGAGAGAGCTGTTCTTTCCTGCAAGACTTTCCTCAGATCTGGATTACCAGATAGCTTCTGAGAGTCAGCAAAAAGAAAACATTTCATGTCTTCCGATAGACAGAAGCCTGTAATTTATATATACGTTAGACATTCATATGTATATGATTTCCAAAGATTTTGCTTCCTATTGGAATAGGCTGGCATTATATAAAACCAAGAGTTCAGGATGGTGAAATAAAATATGTTGCACGTGTGCATACAGAGGCTGCGATAGATTGTCAGAAATAGAAGGGTTAGAGTGTAAGTCTACAGTTTTAAATTTTTAACGACCCTGCGTCCTGCAAAATACAAACAAATCAAAACACCGTTCTGTTTTATTTTACCTTTCTGCCATCTTCCCTGTCTTCCCTACAATGGATAGGGGGGAAAGATGCTGGTACAGAGTTCTGCAATATTTTCAGGTTAAAAAGTAGATACATTTTAGTGGTGAATGAAATATATATCAAAGGAAGCAAACATACATATGCACACGTACGCAAACCCCTGGGGTACTGTAGGCTGCTTTCTAAACTTTCTTCCTTGCCCGAAGTTATAGTATGGTGGAAGAGCGTAGCGTTAGAAAGCCAGGAAGAATGACATTTCGAAGGGAAATGTTCTGACTTAGCTGTTTCCTTAAAGAGAGCTGCCTACCTCACAGCCTTTCCCTTAAAGGAGGGAGGAACATAACCAGTAAAGGCTAACGTTCCCCATCACTTGTAATATCATCTTGCTCATTCTATCCACATACCTGCTTTATTAGAAAGTTCCGTAAATGATTCCTTGAAATGTGGAACTTAAAACTAATAATGCAAAGGAATCAAATTGCCTCCAACAGTTCTTGGGAAAGAGTCTCAGTTCTGATTCACTCACAGGCTTTTTCTATCTTACATTATTCATTAATCAAGCTAGAAATCGAGCTTTCAACAGCAGCCCATGGGAATAATTACTTACAGTTGTGTATTGTGTTTAATTTTAAGCAGTGATAAAAGTTAGCATGGCCACAGTTCTGGAGCCCACCTTGCTCTTCTCTCTGAATGTTAACTGGCAAAAGAATCTCAAAGCAGCTAACTTCAGTGGGAATAACCACTTTAGCTAAAACAGAGCATGCATCGGTGACTTTAGAGGAAAGAAATATTACGTGGAAAAATATCCGCTTCAGTAATATGTGAGTAAATAATACCGTAAGAGGGGCCGCATTGTGTACAAAATGAATTATTCCCTTTCAGCTTGACAAGGGTTTCCACTTCTGCCAGTGAAAATAATAAAAGCCATGAAAACAAACACATAAAGACACTAAGAATACAATATGCCAGGAAACTGAAACTACAGCCAGAACTTTTTAACACACACACACACACTACAGCAAACAGATAAACGAACTCCAACAGATACCAGCTTAATGAAAAGGATCTAATTTAAATAATGTGATACCGCTTTATGTTATACACACCTGAATCCTCAATGATCAGAGGACAATTATAATCAAAGCAGTGCAATTCTGAGCAATGCACTTTTTGTAATGAGCTTACCAAAGGAGACATGTCCAGTCATTCTGGTAATTTAAATTACTGCCTAGTTGTTGATGGCCTTTACCGGAACAACAAGGGGAAAAAAAAAAGAGTACTTTTCAGGGCAGTATCACTTCTTGCTGGACTGTTGCCCGGGGTTCTCTTGTGGGACAACACTAAGGACTTTATCTCTAATAATCTAGCTGTACTTAAACTTATGTTGCTAGACCTAGACGAAGCAAGCTTACTCTTTCTGAGTCTCAAAGGCCAGTGCATACCCCAAAGCTGTTCAGATTGCAAAGCAATCTAAGTTTTAAAAAATAAGTGAGTTAAATGTAGAAAGGGACAGGGGTAGGAGGAAGAAACTGTTTGCAGAAGAGGTAGCTAGAGCGGAAAAAAGAACACCTCATTGACTAAGCAAGTTCTAAATATATACGGTACTAAAATATCTAAATTATTTTGCTCTTAGAGAAACAATTGGCAAATAAATGAATCAAAGCTTTATAAATGATATTTCCCCATGCAATTTGAACCAATCCATATGCAGTTTCAGAAGCAATTCTGCGCTCAAAAGGGAAGATAATTGTGGATATCTCCAAGCACATGTACTGCCATTCTTGGCTGGAATCAGGCCACGATGGAAGATGAGCTTGGTGGTCCAGCATGTTCAGACACAAACACCCACTTTGCCCAGATTTGTGACTAACTTTGGATTTGTTCTGAGGGTGGCTTTGCAAAGTTTATGAAAGTGTTCCACTGAACTTCTTCTCCCTAATGTTTCGCTCCAGTTGGAACAGAAGGAAATATTGTGGGGGGTCTGCAGAAGACCAGCCTTCACTGATGCTGCCTTAAAGCTTGAGGGTAAAGACAGAAAGAGGGAGAGGAAAAAACTTAAGCTCTTTGCTAAAGCCCGATTCAACTGAAGGACACAAAGAAATAAAAACGCCCACATTAAAAGCCAAACAAGATAATAATTGTGCATGTCTGGCTCTCAATCTAGAGGGCAAGGCTTGCGTCACTGGCACTCTGAGTTACCATGGTGAGTGATTTATTGATATATATCAAGAATGAATAGATCAAAGGCAGTGAGATGACAGGTGATCAATCAAATGTCAAATCAAAACTAGCAATCAAGTGGAAAGCTGATTTTTCAGTGGGTGGGTCTGGCAGGAGAAAAATGAACTTTCATATTACACTTCCGAGAAACAAAACCCCAGCATACTATTAAAAAAGCAATTAAGCAACCCAAAAGGAAGAAAAAAATCCTTTACAAGCTCTGATGTCCTGATCCATTAACCTGTTCCTCTCTCTTTCCTTTTTTTGGAGGAGGGGGTGGTAAGAATTCAAATGGGATACTTCCTACCGCACAAATCAATTTACAAAGTTTGCAGCTCACTCTGTGCAAAGAAGATCCAGAGCTGTTTCAGTGTTCAAGGGGCATCCCCCCTCCCCACACCTTTTTTTTTTTTTTTTTAAAGAGAAGAGAGAGTGTTGATTAGATTTACAAAGGAGGCTCTTCTTGGAAAACAAGATTCAAAGGTTCCTTTCCTGGGGTGGTTTTTTACACCTTGGCGATCAAAGCTGAACTCCCACGGCTTGCCCCAGAGCCAGCCTTGCAGCCTTTGGCTGGGGCACGGCTCGAAGTTCTGCGCCCCAAACCCCCGCGAGAGGAAACGCCGTCCCCCGAGGCCAGAAGTCACTGGCAGCGACCACCCGGAGGGGGGCGGGGGCGGCAGGATTGCTCCCCACTGCGAACCCCAAATGCTCAGCGTAACTTTGGCCCAAGAGGCAAGCAGCAGACTGGGAGAAAGTTAGGGGTGGGGTAGAGGGTGGAGGGAAAAAAGTTTAAGGAGGAAAGGCTTGGTGGGATAGCTTGCCCCCACCCCCCAACCGGAGCCTGGAAAGAGGAGGACTGGGGCGGCTGGAGAAGGCGAGCGAGGACGGGGTTATTAGCCGGGCCGAGGGGGGCACCCGGAGCGGACGCCCCCGAAAGGCAAGCGAGGGGGGTGGCGCCGCGGGGCGCCCGGGCGAGGAGCTGGCGCCCCGGGCCGCCCGGCCGGGCCGCCGCGCGCGGAGCCGGGTCTCTTACCTGCCGCCCGCTTGGGTGCCTGCTGCTTCCTTCTTGGCATCGCTCTAGTTCGCTCCAGTCCCACTTCTGGCGCCCCAGCCCCGAGCCGCCGCGCGCGGGGGCCCGCTGTCTCGCTCGCCTCTCCGGGTCTCCTCCGCCTCCGGCCCGGTGGCTCCCGGGGCGTCACTCGGCCTCTGTCCCCCTGTCCCCGCAACTCCTCCACCGGGGGCCGGAGACCCCCCTCTCTGGGTGGCGGGCAAGACGCGGGCGGCCGTGCCGGCTGGTTTGAAGTAGAGGTTGGTCCTGTCTTGTTTGTTTGTTTGTTTGGTTTTGGATTTTTTTTTTTGTTTTTTTCTCCTCTCTCTTTTTGTTTTTGCTTTTTGGAAAATATTTTTTTTTTTGGTTTGGTTTTTTTTTTTTTTTTTTTTGGTGACTGTTGAGACACTTGATTTCTTTATTAAACATCCAAGAGCGGGTTCGGATGGAAGGGACGAGGGACGCACACGCGCGCGTAAAGATAAGGAAAAAAAAAAAAAAAACCACACAAACAATCCTGGGAAGGTAGTGGGCTCCTGTCTCGCTCCTTCCTTCTGCTCCTGGCCTCCCGCACCTCCACCTCCTCGCCTTCCTCTTCCTCGCCGGGCTCGATGGCGGATTCGCGCCGGGGGCAGAGAGATCTCTCACTGTCGGCTTGTGGCTGCTGTCAGATCCCCGTCTCTGAGTGATATGCGAGAGGACAGGAGCGCGTTTGGGAAAGACAGAAAATCTGGAATTCACTCGCACACACTCACACGCACACTCACACACACACACTCACACGCACTCCCGCTCTCTCACTCACACACACACTCACACCCCCCGCAGATGCACACACACTCACACCACGCGCGCGCACACACACACACACTCACACACACGCAAGACAGGGCGAGGCGATGCCAGCAAACATCGATCCCGCTGAACAAACTGAACATTAACAAACTCCTCCTCCTCTCCCCGCGACCTGATGACAGGGAGAAATTTACTCCCCAGCCGCAGAGCGCCAGGCAGAGGGAGTCTATTAAAGGGACAGTGTCCCGCCGGGAGCGGGGCGGGGCGCGGACCCCGGCGTGACGCCCGCGCTGCCGTGCGCCCCGCTCGCGGGCCCTGCGGCGCGCCCCCCGGGCCGCGGGGACACCCCTCGCGGGAGCGCTGAGCAAGGACGCGCGAGGTGCAGGGGGACGGAGGGAGGAGCCCCGGGCGCCAGGTAAGCTCCACCCGCAGGACAAAAACCGGACCCTGAACCCAGGATCAGGAGGGGAGGACCGCGCTTCCCTTTGGGAGGAGGGTGACCGCCATCCTCTGCTGTCTCTCAGTCTGACCCGGGGATGTCCTCGCCACCCACTTGCAATGAATGCTTCTGCTTCTCCCACCTTCTGTTGGTTCCTGGATGGTTATAAAAGCAGGAATCTCCCTGCTGTCTCCTTGATAGTTTAATCATATAGTCCTCTCTTTGTTTTAGTTAAGTAACACGTTTATTGAGCACCTACTATGTGCCCCTCTTCTGGAAACACAGAAGTCATAGCGAAAGGGAAGATCCTGACCGCCCCCGCCCCCAGTGTTTGTGTTCTAATGGGGAGCAGATAAGTTGCCCCCAAATATCTGGATTTTGCTTAAAATGTCACTTTCTCCAAGAGGCCAACCTTACCTAAAGTTTCACATGGACATCTCCACCTCTATCACATTTCTCTATTTTATTTTTCTCCACTGGGCTTATCATTGTCACACGTATGATCACACATGTTATGTACAGTTTTCTATTTTTCTTGTCCAAACTTCCCCTCTGGGATATAAGTTCTGTTCGGAAGAGAGGTTTATGCCTCTGTGGTTTATCCCCAGTGATGGTGCAACATAGAGTAGGTGGTCAGTAAAACATCTGAATGAATGGAAAGTAAGCAGATGAGATAATTTCAGAGTGATACGCTCCGTGAAGGTGTTAAAAGAGGGTCCCGTGACGACCTCGGAAAGACAGAGTGGCTCTTGCCTCAGTGCAAGAGACGTTACTCCAGCCAAGACAGACTCCAGCCAGCCCGCGACTGGGGCCCTGCTCTGGGCCCGGTCCCCTCTGAGCTTCCGGGGCCAGGATGAACGGGGACCCTGCCCCCAAGGCACTTTGTTCCAGTGGGAGAGACAGACAATTAAAGGGGCCAACGAGGTCTGCTGGGATAGGAGGGGCTCTTAGAAGGGGCGGTTAACCTGGACTCGGAGGAAGGCAGGATGGTTAGTTGGGCCAAAAGGGAACTTTGACAGCATGTCCTCAGCATAAAAAGTCGGGCATTATCGGAATCTTTCCAAGGGCTTCTTCCTCCCGCATTAAAGTTTCCTAAGGCTCTTGTTAAGATGCACATTCTTAGGCCTTATTCTAGAAGAATATGTTCTAACCCTGGTACTACTGATCTTTTGGGGCCATAATCCTCCATCGTGGAGGCCATTCTGTGCGTTGTAGGAAATTAAGCATCATGTTGGGTGTCCACCCACTAGATGCCAGATGCTTCCACCCCAGTTGTGTCGACCAAAATTGTATCCAGACATTGCCCAGTGTCACGCATGAGGCAGAGTCACACCTCCATCTCCTAATCGGAAACTTCTAGGGCCCATTGCCCTTGACCTTCTACATGAGAAACCTCTAGATGAGCTTTTTGGAATCTGCAATTTTGACCAAACAACTCCCAATCCCGCAAGTGAACCTCTTGTTTACTCTGGTTTAAAAACTTCTGCTAAAAAAGCCTTTGTTCTTTTGGAATCAGACATACCTCAAATCGCTAACTATAGAGCCAGCTAAGGCTTAGATATTAAAATAATAATTAAAATAATTTAGGATCTCAAGGGGTGACACTGTTACTGGCTTTGTGATGATTTCCACCAGTGCTCACGCCTCAGTCCCGCCCCCCACCTGGTACTTAGCACAACTGAGGCCTGAGCAGTGTGGTCAGGGGCCCTTTCTGCCTACAACTTGCCCACCTGTCACTTTTACCCTCACTCATGGGAAATTACCGAGGATGATCCGTCCCACAAATGTTTTTCTAAGCCATCCTTTTGGGCCACAGGAAAGTTTCCCATCCTGCCAGTCAATTGCAAGGTGTTACTGTCACTCCTTGCAAAGTGCTGTTTAATCATTTTTAATATCCCTGCACAGGGCAGGGATGCTCATTTCTCCACACGTATGTGGTACAAGTTTTTAATTCACTTACCCTAAATCACCCCATCGGCCTCCGCCCACGATCAGCCCCACCTAATCCGGGCCCAGTCCTTAGGCAACTGAGGCAGAGAAAAGCCCACTTCGTCATTGGCACGTCAGCAAAAGGGGCATTAGTACTAATTAATTCTAATTACACCACACACCTTTACGGAGCGCTGTGACAGGAAGCATAGCTTGTTGAGTAAAAAACCGCTCGTCTGTGTCGTTAAGGAACCACAGTTATAAAAGGTGCAGACTTGGGCCTGAACAGACAGAAGACTGAGACTGCAGGCAGCCCACCTGGATGAACCTGCTGCTTGGGCCTTTGCGGTCCATTCGGTCCTTTAACAAACACCTACTGCGTTAGGGGCCAGCTATTGAGCTGAGCGCAGGAGATGCTTGCGCGCACAAGATAGGACCCGTGCCTTCAGGAAGCGTCTGTAAAATGACATCTAAAGGACTGGGAACTAGGAAAGAAGGAGTTGGGGAGCTGCCTCCAGCCTTGGAGTAAATTAGGAGGGAGCTACAGGATCTCTGCCAGCCGCTCTTCAGGATTCTTCTCCGAATTTTCCCTCCACTCTTTCTCAATGGCTGGTTACAGAGGGGGTGAGGGGAGCTCACAGTACCTGCTGTGAAACTTTCCTCTTACCTGGTTCCTCCTCATTCTCGGACCACATTTCTGGAGTGTTCTTTCATTAATTTGTGTTTTTTTTCCTACTGCTATGACTGCAGAGTGTATAGCCTGGTTATCAACAGAGAAGACTTTGGCCACCCCAGTGGGGTGCCTAACGCAGTGGTGCCCGGATGTCACTCGGGGGTGTAGACATGACCCTGGAAAACGCTGACTCACGTAGTGAAAGTGTCATTATTCCCTTTCAATCTGGGAGAGTGTCTGTTCCCTGCTACTATGTCTTTTGCGCCCATCACTTGCCAACTTTTATTTTCAACCAAGAAACCAGAGATTTCTGGCCCAGAAGCTGGGGAGGGGCAAGAGTACCTGGTTAGACTTTCAAAACATGGTCTGTTTTCATTGAATTCACTTGAAGCCTACCTCTGTCTTAGAGAAAGATACTGCTCTCCATTTATGGTAGCAATCTAAATTTTAATATGATTTGTGGGTTTAGAAAGCACCCTTAAGGAACAATAGAGAGTAGATAGTGGTGCGGGCGGGCTGAGAAGACAGCAAAACATGAGGGAGGTGGTACGGGCATGACTCGAATTTGCAAAACACTAACCCACAGACTCTAGCACTTGGAGAAGCTTCTTCCAAGAGTTGGTGGCTTGGCCATGTTTAAGTCTCCAGGGAACTTAGCATCCTAGGATCCAACACTCAAACTCTGGGATGTGTAAAGGCATGAACTGATGTGTGACTCAACCATATTTTCCAGAACACACTGGCTCAACATCAGAATCTCCTGGGGATTTTTTAGGTAAGATAAAGAAACACAGGCCCCACCCCAGGCTTACTAAATTAGATCCTGGGGTAGGGCCAGAAAAATCTGAAATTTTGAAAGTTCCCAGGTGATTCTGATGAGGTGCCAGGCCACTGGAAGCTTCCTTGTGCAAGGACTGAATGTTGCAAAAAGCGAATCAAGTTAGCAAAAGTTGCTGCGTGCACGGGACAGGCTGGCCATCTCTTCTGGGATTCACTCGCAAGGTGGTGGTGGTGTTGAGGACCTTTTCCATGTACCCAAAGAAGCCTGTGAATGCTCCATTAAAGCACACACCTATCACATTACAGGTTTCCCCGATGGCTCAGAGGTAAAGAATCCGCCTGCCAATGCAGGAGACTCTGGTTCGATCCCTGGGTTGGAAAGATTCCCTGGAAAAGGAAGTGGCAACCCAGTCCAGTATTCTCACCTGGGAAATCCCATGGACAGAGGAGCCTGGCGGGCTGCAGTCCACGGGGTCACGGATGAGT